TGATGTGTCAAACTGCAGCCCTCTGAGCAGAACTCTCAGGTCAGCTCCAGCTCAGCCTCTGAGCAGCTCCTTCCCCCTGCCCTACCCGTGTAATGGGACACTGCTAAACGATGCTGAGAGCACCCCTGTGAAGTCATGGCCTGTTACACCTGACTTGCCCCTCGCTGCTCTTGTTAGCTTATCTTCCTCCGGGCTAATTTATGACCCTATCAGACACGCTGTGCTGCTGGCTACTGTACGGACTAAAACTAATTACTTAACTAATTACTGGGGTTTAATAACTCAAGTACGCTCACCTTATTTTTGATCTTTAATGTATAATGAACGTGCATGGCCACACGAGGACAACTCTAATGGCTGGTGTTGCTATCATCTGATCATCAGGGATGTTGAATCATTCAAAAAGCTGTAAGTAAACAGAAAGTTATCTATACTTTTTTAAAATCAATATGTAACCAAGATGTGTACTTTTTGGTAGGAATGCATGTTTGTTTCTTTCTTTGTCCTGTCAAACATGCATTCTTCCTTCATTTGGATTCCTAATTTGCAAGCTCTGGGAGTGGCTCAGCCGTACTGCATGCTCACAGTTTTCGTTTCAAACTATCTTGGTACCCTCCCTGCTTTACTCTTCTTTTCAACACCAATCATCAAAGGTCAGTAAATGAATAGATTATTTTAAAATTAAATAACCATATTTGACCTCACAATGTGTGTGCCTGTCCTTGATCTTGATTTAGTTATAAGTAATATTAATTATGTCTGTTAAGACTTTGAGCATTGTCTGTGATGTAAGAAATTATTTTAGGATGTTTTCCAGTGTGGCTTATTCTAATTAATGTTTATCTATACATTTGAGGTCATCTTGATGTGATTTCATTTGAAAAAATCTCTAAAATATATAACAAGTTGCCTCTTTTTATTCTTTTCTTTCATCTCTAGATGATTCCTTTTAACAGCAAACTGTTAAAAGGAATTAGTTTTTCTATGTTTTCTGGACTACTTCTTCACGCCCTCCCAAATACTCAGAGATGGCAAAAGTACTCACTTTCCGTACAAGTACAGATACTTGTGTTAAAAAATACTCTGGTAAAAGTGGAAGTACTGATTAAACTTCTTTACTCAAGTAAAAGTAACAAAGTACAGGCTTGTAAATTTACTTAAAGTATAAAAGTAAAAGTAGAAACCACTTTTTTCATGCCGTTGCCTACATTTTAAATGGATGTCTGCCAATAGGACTAGATCTCCGTTGTGTTCATTTTCAATCATCTCGTCGTCCATACTACTATGCTAACGCCACCGCCACCAAGCTGCAATGATTTGCCGCGAATGAATACCGCCAAATCTGTCGATTCATCTTGTAGTGGTGCGTCAAATGCAAATCAGATTCCCATCCAATTAGATTGAATTTGGTATTGATGACGTGAAAAATAATAACGGTAACTCCATTGAAATTATTCAAAACTAAAGTAACAAGCCAATTTTTTTAAATGTAAGGAGTAGAAAGTAAAGATATTAGTGTAAAAATGTAAGGAGTAGAAGTAAAAAGTCGCCATAAAAATAAGTAGTAAAGTAAAGTAAAAATATCAGAAAAATCTACTTGAGTACAGTAACGAAGTATTTGTACTTCGTTACTTCCCATCTGTGCAAATGCTTAATTGAGACATTGCTCAAAAAGTCAAACAATTTCCTGTGATCTGTTCTCTGATTACTGAATGCTGGCAAATGTATATGCAGATCATTGCATTAATATATTTTATAGTCTCAGCTTTAATTTAGTAAAGTACAATTTGGTCCATAATAATTTATTCAAAGATAATCAAATTAGATAATCAAATCTGAATCAAATATCAGCAGTCCTTCCATCAATCCATCTTCCACTGCTTATCTGTCAGGATCACAGAGAGCTGGTGTCTATGTCCAGCAGCCTATAGGCAAAGGAGGTTGAAAGCCTGGGCAGGCTGCTTGTCCATTGCAGGGAAACACAGACATACAACAATGCACACACAATCACACATGAGGGCAGTTCAGATAAGCCAGTAAATCTAACAGATGTGTTTTTGGAGTGTGGGAGGAAGTTGGAGCACCCAGAGAGAACCCAGATGTGCATAGGGAGAACATTAAAAATCCATGACTTCATGCAGCAGTGTAACGGTGCACCACTGTGCTGCTCTCATGCTGTCCAATTGGTTTCAAATTATAATATGATGTATTAAATGAGAGCCAGTACCAGGCTCGGTATTAGTCGAATGAAAGCTACATTTTGGTCAGTGGCTTTGTTTAAAATAGAAATACTTCTTAGCAATAAATTACTCAGTCAGAGGCACTGTCTTTGAGAAAGACAAAGAAAGATTGCACACATTGGCAAGCTGTAACAATGGCAAGAATGATAACTGACTTGCTCCAGTAAACAGTCAAAAAAAGAAGTCTCGTACTTGGATGTATCTTGTAAGGAAGTAATAGCAGGAATTTCCTTCTCAGTGGCTTTTTTCAGAAATTAGACACATTTCAAAAGGAACAACACCGGAAAAAAAAAAAAAAAGATAATACACAGTGAAAACAATATCTCAAACACAAATTTAATTTGGTAAAAAGGCACTGCTAATCACAGAAGAAGAAGAAACACTTCACAAAAAGGAACAAATAAATAAAGTTCATGGTGGCAACATACCCCTGAAGTCATTCTTCCAAAAAACAGAAATGTCTATCAAGGGCAGCGTTTGGCTAGAAGTACTTTTATAAAGAAAGAAAAAGTGCATATACAATGGTATCATCAAAAATCAGGTTATCAGTATATCCTGTAAAAAAGACACAGTTAACTAAAGAAACATTGGGCCAAAAGTACTTTTTATATTACACACTAAAAAAAAGATAAAGACTAAATCACAGCAAACTTTCAAATGGAAAGATAACACGCTAAACACAGATAAAATAACTTTATAACTATCTTTACCAAATGCAATGTTCTTTTTATTTATGTTTTTTGAGTGAAAATACAGTTATAATTCATGATTTCTCTATTTTGAAATATATATATATTATATATATATATATATATATACAGAGAGAGAGAGAGAGAGAGAGAGAGAGAGAATGATAGATATATAGTTGTAATTGTGTGTTTTAAACACTTGCGTTTACACAGTTGATATAGGTTCAATGATGGTTGTTCTGGGGAAGTCATTATTAAATACACCAACAAACCAATGTTGACAATATAGAACTTCTCTGAAAAAGTAAAAGCTGCACAGAGATCAGTGATCAGTGTAGCCATCAATTACTACACTCTAGTATGAACAGTACCTAAACAAAGCAAAATGAGTAAAGGATAAGGACTAGTTTAGATAGAAAATACAAGACACATTAGTTTTTTCTTTTTAAAAATTTACATCAATAACTTCCTGCGGGGAAGAGACACAGTTAAAGGCATGCATACTGGGCTTTCAGGATGTTCTACAGCAGGCTTCCTCAATTCCTGTACAGGAGGTCCACCGTTCTGCACCTTTTAGATGTGGCTCTGCTTCCACACCTGAATCAAATGGTTGAAATACCTCCTCAGCATGCAGTCAAGTTCTCCAGAGACCTGCTAATGACCTGATTATTTGACTCACGTGTGTTGAAGCAGAGACACATCTAAAAGGTGCAGGTCAGTTGACCTTTTAGATGGGCTGGAACTGATGAGTCTTGTTCTAAAGGAGAAAAAACAGAGAAATACACAAAATTAACAGTAAAGTTATCTCATGCAGTGGGTTCCTCCACAATAGAAGACAGATAAAGGCAGTAAACCCAAGTCAGGTATACATTATACCATGAAAAAGCAAAAGAACTTCCGCAATGCTAATAGTATTCAATTAACTTTGACACAAAAGAGACAGCTACACACGTAAGAACCGATCAATGTCTACATTAGATGGTAAAGACTAAAAAAGAAAGAAGCCAAAGTCAATTAATTACCCCTGCAAATAAATAGCTGAAAACAATTGGCCAAGATTACAAAGAGAGAGTGCAATGGCAGCAATAAATCAATCAATGGTCTGCCCAAAAATACACAAGTGAAGCCTAACAACCCCGATAGAGAATTCTTTCTATAGTCACCAGAAAAGAAAAAGAATGAGAAAAAGATAAAACAAAGCAGCTCTGGTTCAATAGTTTCTTCAAGGTCTCCATTCAGGTAAGAGTTCTGCACTTTAATGCAAAAAGAAAAATATTTGACACATCTGAAAATCTTTATCGCTTATTTAAAAGGTCCAAACATGTCTATCTTTATACAATAGTAGTTGAGCCTTACATGTGTAGCTCATTATATGTGCAATTGTACACAGGCTGTGGTTAATGCCACGTCCAAACACAGTTAATGAAAAGCGACATCGAGCCAGCGCTCCAGGGCACACGGGGTTAGATAACCCTTCACAAACAGACATAGGCACACATACTGTTTTCTCTGAGGGATTATTTCCTTGCAGCCTGCTTGCGCTCTGGTTGGAGGTGTCCAGTGTGAGTCTTCAGGTTTCGTCTTCCTGTCTCGTGTGTCAAAGTGTGTTGACACATGCAAAGGCAGTGATGTATTATGGAGGGCATCTGCAGATTGCTTGGTTCAGTACAAAAGATGTGCAAATACCTGCACAGGGATTCACACATAGGAGTCTAATTGCTCTAAGCAGATAAAGGCTGATAACATTTCTGAGAAATATAATCAGTGGATCCGTCAGTTTTATCCTCCTACACGCACAGATGTACTCATGTTTGAATCACTGTGAAGATAATTGATTTAGATAAAACAAAGCCTGAGTAGGCATGAGAGAGAAGCTCATATAGATTTCTAAACATAAAGATGGCCTTTTGCACCAATGCATGCCCTAGGCGTGTAAACAGCTTTCCTTCCAATATGAATGAGCATCTATATAGGGAAAGGCTCATGCTGCAACACAAGCTAATTCCTGTTAATCCCACTGCCGCTCTTACTACTTACAGAAGGTTTCCAATGGCAGCCCCTGAGCAGGGGAATTGCTGGTGAGATTAGCTCCCATGTTAGCTCCTCCTCTGCAGTTTCCTCTCAGGGCCGGGCCAGACCGGGTCTGCTTCAATGCTAGCCTTTCACTCAGAAATGGATTAATTGTCTTCTCAAAATGTCCCGTTTCTTAACTTGGGAAAAATGTAAGTGCCAGTCACCTTTTCCAATATTCAATTTTAGCTTAAACAGAAGTTTTGTAGACGGTAGGATCAGTGTAAAGCACAAATGGATACCATTGAGAGTACATTTGTTTGAAAGTATAAAAGTCTAAACAATATTTTGCTTAATTGTTTTGTTGATCTTATTTTCTGAACATATCCATACAAGTTTAAAGCGTTCATATTTATATTCTTGTATCTCTCTTTCTCTTGTATCTCTAACATCCATTGATTTCATTATAAAAACTAAAAAGGCTGTCATTCCTGATTCTATAGATGTGTCCCACTGTGAAAGAAGCGAAAATTAGAAATAGGTCTATGACTTCCTTATATGTAGTAACACCCAAGAGGTTTAGTGTTTCTGGTAAAAGGCTTGTCTTCGGATATCTCCTCCTTATCCAAAATACAGAATACAAATAAAAAGGTTTAAACCATCTGTTTCTTTAGATTTTGCTTAGGTTATAAACTTAGGTTATCAAAAGTTATTCTACTTTTTTTTTAAGCACATCATTATGTTTTTTTATTATGGTAAGTGGACCGTAATCCTCCGGTTCATAGTCTACTGTATTCCAAGCTTTCAATAAGATTCTCTTCAGGAATCAGTCTACTGAACAGATCTTGACTTTGAATGGAACAAATCCTGTCATAGCTAAATGTTTAGAGAATAAATTTGAAAGTTGTTTTGCAAGGTCACCTATACAGTAATTTTTTTAAGACTAGTTCAGTGATTGATTTTAAGACCGTTTTGTGTCATTAGTTATAGTAAAGTAGCTTATTAAACACACATTTACAAACAAAAAGACATCCCACAGACATTCCTTGATACTAAAAAAAAACTTTTTTTTTTAAACCGATGCTGATTAATACGATTTCGTTGTCAGTCTATCTGTTCCCTGTGGTGCACTGCTGATTTTTGGGACAGATTCTATAAGAGACAAGGCAAGGCAAGGCAAGGCAAATTTATTTGTATAGCACAATTCAGTACAAAGACAATGCAAAGTGCTTTACATGATTAAAATACAGGAAGATAAAACAGAATCAAAGCAAGTAGGAAAAAATAAAAAACAAATAAAATAAAATAAAAAATGCAGAAACAAAAAAATAATATTAAAAACAGTTGGATTAAAGAAAACATGTTTTTGTTGAATTGTTTAACTAGAACAGTCGAAGGCAATCCTAAACAAATGTGTTTTTAGTCTTGATTTAAAGGAACTCAGGCTTTCCGCACTTTTACAGTTTTCTGGAAGTTTGTTCCAGATAAGTGGAGCATAGGAACTAAATGCTGCTTCTCCATGTTTAGTTCTGGTTCTAGGTATGCAGAGCAGGCTGGAGCCAGAAGACCTGAGTGGTCTGGAGGGTTGATAAACTGATAGCAAGTCTGTGATGTATTCAGGTGCTAAGCCATTCAGAGATTTATAGACTAACAGAAGTATTTTAAAGTCTATTCTCTGAGATACAGGGAGCCAGTGTAAGGACTTTAGAACTGGGGTGATGTGCTCTACTTTCTTAGTCTTAGTGAGGACACGGGCAGCAGCGTTCTGGATCAGCTGCAGCTGTCTGATCCACTTTTTAGGCAGACCTGTGAAAACACTGTTGCAGTAACCGATTCGACTAAAAATAAACGCATGGATTAGTTTTTCCAGATCATGCTGAGACATTAGTCCTTTAATCCTGGAAATGTTCTTCAGGTGATAGAAAGCCGACCTTGTAATTGTCTTTAAATGCTTTTGGAGGTTCAAGTCTGAATCCAGTACTACACCTAGATTTCGGGCCTGATCAGTGGTTACTAGCTGAAGCGACTGAAGCTGTGTGCTAACTTTAGATCTCTCCTCTATTGGTCCAAAGATTATTACTTCAGTTTTGTTTTTATTCAGTTGAAGAAAATTATGGCACATCCAGGCATTGATTTCTTCTAAGCATTTCCTCAGTGCTTGAATTGGTTCATAGTCACCTGGTGACATGGTGATGTAAAGCTGTGTGTCGTCTGCATAGTTATGGTAGCTGATGTTGTTGTTTTTTATTAACTGAGCAATTAAAGTCACAGGGTTTAATATTTACAGGGATTTACTGACAGAAATGCAGTGTATTATAAAGAGGATGTTATTATCAGACTGAGAGTCTCAGTCTTCATGTCTGTGTTTCCCTGAGAAATTGCTGTTTAAAATTATATAGGAGTGGGTCATGCATTTATGGAGGCAGACATTTTATGCTACGGCTGCACAGAGCTGAAAACCTTCTAACCGTCGAGATCGCGATTACAATCAAATGTGACTGCAGCAAGTATAGAGTAGCAACAACAATAACTTCACTACATGTAGCGCTCAGAGCTGTAAACAAAATTTGTTGAATTAGGATTTTTGATATTGACCACATGGGTATACACCAATGTTATTTTTTGGATACATCCCTTATTTACTTCTTGTCGGCTCCTTTGGAGAGCTTTAAATCTCTCTGTTTCCGCTCCGGTCATCCCGCTAGCACCTCACCCCTCCCTTGGCCCTGGGAGTTCTGGACATTATCAACTGTAGTCTTTCCTCTGGAGTTGTACCTTTGAGTTTTAAACATGCTGTGGTCCAGCCCCTTCTTAAGAAAAACTGGCCTTGATGGCAGTGTAGTAGCAAACTTCAGGCCCATCATTAAGGTACTTTTTATTTGTAAAATCTTAGAAACAGTTGTTTCCACTCAACTCAAGTCATTTTAAGAAGAACATGGTGTCCTGGAGGTGTTTCAGTCTGCTTCCAAATCTCTGCATAGCACTGAGTCAGCTTTGTTAAGAGTTTTTAATGACATCCTCTTAGCAAATGACTCTATTGACCCTGTAATTCTCATCCTCTTAGATTTGGCAGCAGCCTTTGACACTGTAGACCACAAGACTCTAGTGTCTCTGCTAGACCACCTTGTTGGCATTGGTGGTACGGCACTGGACTAGTTCAGGTTTTATTTTTCCTATAGAAATCATAGAATGAGCCTTGGAAACTACGAATCTAGCTCCTCTCCCGCTCCTTATGGGGTTAGGACTCTATCTCAGTTCATTGTACTCACTGCCCCTGAGGTCCATCCTGAGAAGCCACTGCATCTCTTATCATTTAAATGCTGATGATAGGCAGATATATGCGCCTTTTACAAAGAAAAAATCCTTTTTCTTTGCACCACTGCTAGCATGCCTTAATGACATTAAAGCCTCTTTACTTTGTATATCTTAAGCCGGGCATACACTGTGCGATTTTTTCAATCGTTGCACACAGCTGCAGCTCACACTGTAAGACTAAACCGCAGGGTTTTGTCCTACAGTGTGAGTTCACAGCTCACGATGTTTGTGCAGCTATCATGCGATCTATCTGCTCACACTATACGACTAAAAAACACGTCGGACTCAGCTACGCAGTGAGATGGAGCTGCTCTGACTCATCTATCCCGAAGCCAAACAAATAGAAGGGGAATACAAAGCTCACTGGAGTGAAATGCTCTGCCTTGGCAATTTGTGCAATTTTGTGCTGAAAGCCCTAAAAAGAAAAGGCAACAACATATTTGGACAAAGACATGGCTGAGCAAACGTGGCTACTACGGTCTGTCAATTTTACAGAAAGATTTCCATTTCACTCATTGCATCCCCGTCATGCTTCTGTGTTTACATCTGAGAGGAAGAAGAAAAAGAAGAATCCTCGTTTGCGCATGCCCACTGAGCAATTTGCCTATGACTGTCGGGAGAAAATCAAATGTTTGATTTTCTCCTGTGAAAGGTGGTTGTGAGAGGCTGAGGCCCCTCGTTACACCCTGTACACCTCACGACGCACGATCAGGCTGAAAGTTGGCCCGATCCCAAAATTCTCACAAGACTGGTAAATCGCGCCAAAAAACGCACAGTGTACGTCCGGTTTAAACGAGGAAAAACTGAAGTGATGATGTTTGGTCCCAATAACCTTTGCTAGCAAAGTGTTAGGTCTTTGAAGGCTACATAACGATACAGGGGTCATTATCTGATTTAAACTAAACGTACTTATGGAAATAGTTGGGTACCATTACCCTCTAGTTGGTTGAACAGTTGGTTAATGTGGAAAACTGTTCTTAAATCCCGTCATTATTGCTAAATGAGGATTTGTGCTTAGATCTTAGCTAGCAGCCACTGTTTGTGTAACATAAAGAGATTAAATAATTGATGCTTCTGTCCGTAGTGCTCTTTTTTCTACCTCTACATGTAGATAGAGATTGCTTCATCTATATTCAAGTTTTTCAAACTCTAACCCTGAAGCACCAATATCTTAGAACTTTTTGGTGTGTTACTTTTTCGACAGACCTGAATCAAATGGGTTAACTATCTCCCTAGAAGCATTCAAGTTCTGCTGGAGTCAGGTGTGTTGAAGCAGAGACACATGTAGAGGTTGCAGAACACCGGCCCTTGAGGATTTAAGTTTGATATACCTGTTCGATTGCTCAATTTGAAACTCAGGAGCTGCTTCCTCCGAAGGCCAAATTTGTCAGCCGATTACATGATAGTTCAGATTGTAAGACTCCTTGTTATGCTCAGAGAATAAAGGTAAATGGCACCGAAGAGTGCTGAATATTGTAAGTGCAGTTAAATATGATTCCAAGTATGTGAATGGTTCAGTCTGAATTGCATGAAAATGTGAAGTTTTGTTTTATGGGTTTAGAGTCTGATATGTGATGGATAATGTTAGGTTAATTGAAAGATATCAATCTGCCCCTTTGCAAACAGGTTTGGCTGACATTTAAGCTCAGATTCCAAATATCTGCAGTATGGGGACTATAAATAGGATATTCGCAACAACAATACTTCTGATGAAGCTCCTCGAAAATGTTATTAGCACCCAGAGAGGTAGTGAGAAGTTATGCATCCATTCTTTGCCTGCTTTATGTGTCAGCTATAACGGTTGCTAGGCTTTAAAGGCTGGTTCTGTTTGAATCCATAGCCAAAATCCTTCAAGCCTCCTTATTTTCGCTGACTTCGAAGGACCCAGTCCAGGTAGACCGGGTCTTTGGAGGATTTAGCCTCTGAAATCGAACACATCCTGCTCTTGTCCACATGTGGACAGGAGCACCCTGTCTAGATAGACAGGGTGTTCTTGACAACCAGGAAAAGGAATGACTAGACTAGACAAGAAAATTAATTAATTAGTCATACATAATCTTTCTTTATTTTTTATTTTATTTTCTTTTTAATTGTTTAGGAGATCTCTCCTGAAGATGTTTCCACAATCAGGAAAATCAATTGTCTTTGACAATTTTCCGGATCCCACTGACACTTGGGAAATCATTGAGACAATCGGAAAAGGAACCTATGGGAAAGTCTACAAGGTACTGAACAAAAAGGATGGAAGTAAAGCAGCCGTGAAGATACTGGATCCCATTCATGTGAGTCATGTTTGCAAGGTAGTAAACCACAATACTTTAATAAGGGATATAAGAAAATCCTTCATCTCTTGATTATGGAGATTCTAGCAATATCCATACAGAACATGGTTTTGGATTTAGTGTAAATAATCTAAATATGGTGAGCTTTTTAATTTTTTGCATTTTCCTGCTGTCAGTATCCAGTAGATAAGTTTGTTCTTAGACTATAGAATTTTTGTTTTCAGATTTTGTCAGCTTCTGAACTAGGTCTGGCTTTTCAATTAGGCCAAAAAAAATAAAAAAAAAAATAACCCAAAACAACCCAATACACTTCTACTGAGTTAAGATCTCCAGCTGCAAAGAACAACACACATCTCCAAATTGCACCAAGATAGATATGGTGTCTGTTGACAGAAGCAATAAAAAATGTAATGTTACAGTTTAAATACAAAAAATTTACTGTACCTCTCTGAGACAATTCCTGGGATAATACTTAGTTAAATGAATCAGAAGACAAATGTCCATGCAGTGGATGATAATCTTTATGTTCTAACAAAATTCTAGGTTAACTCCATAGAGACTGGCTTAAGCAATACGAGCTTTCGTTTAACTGGCTTATAAGAGGAGGTAATGCATGCAAATCATTGCTTTTCTTTCTGAATAAACTTCCTCACAGAATTCTGTGGTCAGTTAAATATACCACTAACTAAGTGGGGCTCAAACCCCTATACAGTACAAACATTTTGTTTTCTTGCATCTTTCAATACTGATATTATCAGATAAATGTGTAGATTAATTATCCATATCCTGATGGCGGCGGTACAGAAAGCTTACATACAGTACATGGAAATAAAAATACTCTAGATTGTGAGTCACTGAGTCCTTGAAGACAAGAGATAGTCTTATGTCCAGGAGGGGTTAAGCAAGAACATAGTTCTGCCCTTTAAAGCAAAAAGAAAAATATTTTACACATATGAAGATCTTTATCACTTATTCAAAAAGTCCAAACATGTCTATCTTTATACAATAGATAGTAGTTGAGCCTTACATATTTTTGAGGTATTTCAGCTGGTTGTTAAACTGGTCCAGTAAGCATCTGATAAGTAGAGGTGGCAGTTTGAATAGTCAGGACACAAAACATTTTGGAAAAAAATAGCAGGAGAAAAAGAAAATGAGATTGCTCAAAACAAATGAGGACATATCTGACCAGAAATCATTTGCTTCTGAATGTCTTTCTTTTTGGAAAACACAGTGGGTTTTCAACCTGCTGAGTCAGACACTAAAATATTATATCATGCGTTTACCTAAAGAAGTGTACTTGAAAATCAACGCTGAGTCATATATGGTTGGTCTCAAGCCTCTGGTTGCATAAACTCTAGTCTCTTACACTGTCCTCGTCTTTTCAATACAATAGGAAAATCATCTCAGCAGATTAGCCTTGAGGATTTCTTTTATGCTGTCCTGATTTTTCTGTCTTTCCTCTTTCTTCATTGAGCCAGAACACAATTTTAGACCAAATTAGTGAGATGCATTTATTTTAGTTTGTAGAGCAACAAACAAAAATCTGATAATGTCACGGTTTTCAGACCTGAACACAGGCATGATAAAAAACTTTTGATGCTTCCTGTTCTGTTTGAACTAATTTTCTTTTTACTGTTTATTTTAAACATGTGGTGCATATTTTTTTCTCTTTAAAAACTCATATGAAGCTTTTTATTCTATCAAGTAAATTCAAATTTAAGCTGCAGACTATTGTTATCAGACTTTGCAATTCATATTTAGATAGTTTCACCTAAAATTTATTCTACCATTTTAGTGAATCAATCAATTTGGAAGTTTTTGTAGGATTCTGAAAAAAAAAAAATTATATATTTCATCCAGTTGGTAATGAAATTACACAAATTCGACATTCACAGGAGTCAAGCGGAGCACTGGTTTGATCTGGGTTTTTTTTAACCTTAATTTGTTCATTTCCTTCTATAACTGAAGAGGTGCACCACACGTCTCATGTTTCTTTCACATACAAAATTGTCAAGGTAGTCCATTTAGAGAAGATATTAATGATATGATGTAATGAAAATGTGATTCTTCTAATTCTAACTCATCTTTGTTCTTCAATTATGTAGGATATAGATGAGGAGATTGAGGCAGAATACAACATCCTCAAAGCTCTCTCCGACCATGCAAATGTTGTCAAGTTTTATGGGATGTTCTACAAGAAGGATCTGAAATGTGGGGATCAGTTGTGGCTTGTACTGGAGGTAAGGATAACAAACCAGCGTTTTATGGATGGCCAGTGGTGCCTGGTTGCATGGTAAAAGCCTGATTGTACATTTTGTGTCTTGCTAGATATTTGCGTTGGCACCTCAGCCTGAGCAGGGATTGTGTAAGAGTTTTAGCCACCATGGGCATCCCAGGAGTTTACTTACAGGCCACCTGGGGGATTTGGTCCTATGCCAGCTCGCATTATAGGGGTGACTTTACAGTGAGCAGCAGAGCAGGGATTTCTATACCCTAGGGATGTCTCTGCAGATTACTTTACAACATCTGAGGCTGATATCTTCAATTGGCTTTACATTCCTTCACATGCTGTTATACAGAATCTATGTTTTTCAAGAACATTTTCTACTTCTCTTTGTACATGTAAAAACCCCTTACCTCCAGCACCAGTTTTTCTTCTTTTATCTGCCGCCACACGGTCTTCTTAAATTTTAGGTTTTAGAGAAGCGTGTAATGGAGGCCCTGCTCAGATGAGAACAAAATGAGATCTGGCAAAATATCCAATATCGGTGTTTACTCATTTACTAATTTACTGATTTAGCCCTGCACTCAGGACAAACTTGGGGACATCAAATGAACTATAATATATTTTATACTAAATATATTTTAACAAAAGAATTTGATTCAGCAACACAAGAAAAATGTAATTCAAGTAAAACGAAGGTGTATTAATTTAAACTGCTGCCCTAATATTTCCTAAATCTATTTTTAAAGCAGTAGCTTAACTGTATAGGGAAGCTGAATCTCTGATACACAAGACTGAATTATATGGGGGCCATGTAAATGCATCAATTCACAGCAAGTTCAAAAAGTCCTGCAAACACAAAAATTATTCAAACCCAAAACACATAAAGGAAAAATGCAGCAAAGAAGAAATTTTAACAGTATAGAGACAAGCTTTGCAAACAAAATACTGGCTGCAAAAAAGATAAATGATATCAACACACAGAAAAACACATTCAAAAGGAAAATGCAGCAAGAAGCAAAACAAACTGCAAGTTAAGAAAAGCTGCAAACAATGGCTGCATTTAATAATAGCTTATTGGTTAAGGCCATCTGGAAAAAACAAAAACAAAAAAACTGTACAGTTTAGTACAGTAAAGGTTTTGTTGTATGGGGACCTGTTTTTCCTCCATTGGGCTAGGGCTGAATAAAAAGGACTTAAAACTATAGCCTCCGGAATACCTTTCAAATCTACCCTATGCTTTAAATTTAGAGTTGTTGTGCCCCAACCTTAATATGTTGATATCTGCATCACATTCTGTAGTGCAATACATTTTTCAGCTGAAACGCAAGAAATACAATTTATTGTCATGCTCTGTGTCCTGTGATCTTTGTGATGTTGGTCTTTTTTCTGCTAAAGGAGGATTCTATATGTTTGCAATCAAATCACTGTGTGTTCTGCTTTGACAACAGCTGTGCTGTGCAGTACCAACAGATAGTCTCAACTTTCCATCTTGTGTTTCTAGTCCTTTCCATTACCATTCTTCCTCCAGACCTTTACACAGATCCTTGAGCATGCCTTGTTCGGAAGTCATGCAAAATTAAAGAAGGACACATGCAAAAACATGAGATAAATACAATCTTTTATCACAAATACATTTTACCTCACCTTCTTTGGTGGTGCTTGCTTAAAGGCAGCAGTGATTTGTAATATAGGAAATAGGGCTCACTGCCCTGGGAGGAATGATCTAGGGTGTTGCAGCTAATTTTGAAAAATAAATATTTAGAAGGCTAGAAAATACAGCCTTTACCTCTATTGCTTATATAGCTATCAGCAGCTAATCATAGAACTTACTCTGTTGGTTTAGTTTTTGTTGTTGTTGTGTTTAAGGTAAGGACTTTGCATATTTCAGTATCTAAATAAAGTTGTCTATCCAGAGCTGCACAGCGGTACAGTTTGTTGCACTGTTGCCTTGCAACCAGAAGGCCCTGGATTTGAATACTGGTTTAAGGTCTTTCTGTACTAATTATGCATGTTTTTTTTTTTTTTTTTTTTTTTTTCTGTGCATGCATGGGTTCCTTCTGGGTACCCATTTCTTTCACAGTCTAAAATCATGACTGTTAGGATGATTGGCATCTCTAAATTGCCCTTAGGTGTATGTGCATGGCTGTCTGTCTCTATGATTGATGTGAGTCCTGTTCAGGGTGTTCTCCAACTTTTGGTAGAGTATGGATAGATGGAAGTTATGTGTCCTTTTAAGAAATATTAAGTTTTTTGGGTTTGTAAGAAAGTGCCTAGCCAGGGCACCATTCAAGCAAGTACTGCCACTGAAGAAAGGCCATGTTTCCTTTGTTATGCAAATATCATGTGACCTTTGTTTACTCCTTGACTGCACATTTCCCTTGCAAGAATCCTGCAGCATTCTAACTCTGGTGGCTAATGCTGAGATTGAAATCACTGCCTGACAGTTTAGTGAGTGCCTGTGTCGGTGCTGTGAGGTTATTAATGTGCCTGAGCGGTGTGAAGTAGGTACAGATCGAGTGTCAGGAGGTAAATGACAGAAAAGAACGTAGAGAGATGGACACTCACCATGGTTACTGTTCCTTCTTTTGAAACTATAATTTTCCATCCTCTTGCTGGAATGAGAGGAGCCTTTTGCACAGAAGACCACTCATTATGAGCTGAATTCATAGAAAGCTGCATCCTCTTCTTTGTTAGCCGCTTTATTGAGGTCTTGGAGCTTTTGGCTTTGACTCTGTAGTGCGTTCCTTTATGGCTGCAGATGTGGGCAGAAATGAGCAATCTTTCATGTGCGGAAGCTGGCTTAGTGAGGTTAAAAATACTTCCAAGAGATCAATGATTGGGTAACTTTTGTTCTCTAACTGAACTGGAGACACTGATTTGGGTTTGCTTTTCATTTAAAAGACCCATGTTGCATCAAAGAAAAATGTTAATGAGGGGAAAAAGCTGCTTATGAAAAGTCATATTTTTTAACCACGTTAGTCTACTTTTCTTTATTTGATTTTATATTGTTCCCTCTTCTGTCATATTACAAAATTGTGAAAATATATATATTTAAAAAGTAAAAATAAAAGAATCTTTGAAGAGAAATTCACCACAAATCACAACAACTCAGGCATGGCATCTTTGTTCAGTAGACGGAATACGTCAAAGTTGCAGTAATTGCATGTTTAACTTTATGAAATCCAGACTTGATCCATCATTATTAGGCAGGCCACGCTGATTTAATTGTAACCTATGTTTTTATAAGCTTCAGAGTTTTAGATTATATGTTTTGTGGTTTGTATATATGTGTGTATGAATGGGCCGATTTAAGAAATACAGCACCTGAGAGTAACAAAGGACTGGTGGAAAGTGCTCTGTTGGGTTGCAGTAGTACCAGACAGCCAAATACAATGCATCACCCCAGGGCAGCCATAAAGCACACCCAGAAGTAGGTCATGCGTGAGCCACAAGAGCAAGGGAGGGAGTTGGATGCAGGGCACAAGCCCAGCCTGAACAACCACACTGCAGTACCTGGCCTTTCAGGGCAAGTCCCAGCAGCAAGACTCCCTGGAAAAAGTCTATGGGAGACCTTCAGAACACCCAACACACATTCTCTATAGCCCATTGTCAGTCCGGCACAATCCTGGGAGCCATTAGCCACCTAAAGGAAGCCCATCATTCTGGGATGTGGCCAGAGCACCCACACACACAGAACCTTAAGGTCCCACCTTACCCCAGATTCCACATACTCCGTCAGCACTCCACCACTCTCACGTAAGTCATGCGGAGTACTTGTGCGTCATTTTAATCAATGAGAACATTTCCAGATCCACTGCTACTCTTCTACACGTCACTGTACACGTACATCTTCTCCGTCTGTCACCAAAATAAGGAGCCAAGCAATTTTTTTCTCCGCTCTGGTCCTTTCAGGTCAAGATCCAAGATTGCAAACAAAACAGGAAAAAGAACTGGACAAAGATCAGATTTGTCAAATTAAAATATAGTAACGACAGTTCAGTATTTACGTACAAATTAGAACATAATTCTTATATATTCCCAAAAACTAAGACCGTTTAATTAAATGATTGGATGCAAACTATTGGTACTTCAACATACCAGGAAGCAGATTTCTCATCTCCATCAAATATGTATTTAATACAGAGAGGCTTTAAAGTTTAATCAAATCCAGTCAAAACTTCCAAAAGAGAATCTGACAACTTCAAAACAAACTTCTTATCGCAGGCATGGATAAGGAGATGCTGAATTTGGAAGTAGAGAACAAACATAGTTCATACTAACCAATTTTGTATGATCCTAGTTATCGCTGTTACAAAATTTGCTCAAAAACTGCACATATGCTGGATGCTGATGGGGATTTTTTTTTAAATGTCATATTAGATTAAGCGATCATTACCACATGTTTTACCCCTATGAAGTTAATAATGATATTGCAGATGCTCTCCTCACGTCCCGAGGAAGTCGGAGCAGAGCAGGACGAGAGGAACAGCGGAGGCTGTAGGCTTTGCTTTTCGCAGGAGGTCTGGAGCAGGTCACTGTGGATGGTGGGATTTTAGGGTTACACTGTCAGTATGTGAAAATGTAATCACTCCCCTCGCACAAAAATAAATGAATTGTGATCAACCATATCTTTTTTTTGGTTGAATATCTATCCAGCCCAGATTATTAAAACAACAAGTCTGCAAAGACATCGCAAAATGCTAGGCTTCATGCCCCAATCTGAAGGAATTTCAGAAAAGTTGAGACACAAAGTCACTGACTTTGATCAGTTTGAAAAGTTTCTTTTGGGGAGCCCACAGTGAGAGCCATTATTAACTTATTTAGAATCCATGGGAAATTAGTAGACCTTCCTTGAAGGGTTCGTCTGATTGAAGTTATTCTGAGAATGATAACTCATCCAATGTTTTAGTTCTGGACTGCTTTCCTACTTCAGGACCTTGAAGACTCGCTGCAATAAACCTCAAATTACTAAGTTTGGTCCCACCCATCTAGAACAAACATATGCTTTTTTGG